AGTTAACACTATGTGTCTGGCACTATTCTAAATGTATTACATACATAACTCACATATTCTTTTTTTTTTTTTTTTTAGAGACTGCGTCTCACTCTGTCACCCACACTGGAGTGCAGTGCCATGATCATAGCTCACTGCAGCCTCAAACTCCTGGGTTCAAGTGATCCTCTCATCTTGGCATCTCAAAGCACTGGGATCACAGGTGTGAGTCCCAGAGCCTAGCCTACCTCATGTATTCCTCACACCAGCTCTGTGACACAGGGAGTATCATTGTCTCCATTCTACAGGTGGGGAAATGAAGCATACCATGGTTAGCTAATCTCCCCAAGGCTGAACAGCTAGTAAGTGGTACAGCTGGGATTCAAACCCAGCAGTACAATTCCAGAGTCCATACGCTTAACCATTTTGCCATGCTGACAAAATTGGGGCTGAAACTCAAGCCTCCTGGCTTCTACTTCAATGCCTATTCCACAGTCATATACATGTATACAGGTACTTACACATTTATACCCACCCCCAACTTTCCCTCTCAGGAGTCTGTACATAAACAAGGGACATCTGTAGATGTCTTCTTTAATCAAGAGTTGCTAGAATTGAGTTGCTCCAGGGGAATTTGTGTTGACACTTCACCCTGAGGGGCAGTGTCACCCTGAAGAAATCAGCTTCAAGTCTCACATGGAAATTTCCTAGGTGTGTCCCCAGTACAGACAGCCCTGGGAAGACTGGTTGAAGATGGTGGCAAGGACAGAAATGATGGCTCATTGCCAGTCTATTTGGGGCATGACATGAAAGCCCAGGGCTATGGTAGACTCAGCTCAGCGATATGTGGTCAGAGTCCAGGCCATCCCAAGGAGGCAGGTCATGGACCATAGTAGTCGTGGAAAACATCTAGAACAGTCCAGAGCTCCATAAGGAAGGAATTGAGCTAAATTGGCAAGTTGTTAAGAGCTCAGGCTTTCTTGAGACCCATATTGCCTCCTACCTGCCTTTGACTTCACTCATTCATGCATTTAATTACTATTTCATCTGGTCATTTGTTCATTCAACAAATGCTTACTCTGTGTCTTCCACGCACTATTCCTCTGCTAGGCAATCCAATATAAAGACAAAGAAGATGCTGTCCCTACTCTAGAAGAGCACAAAGTATAGAGGGATGGGAGAGGTCATGATTCAGAGAATTCCTGGGGAAGGCAACACTGAGCACAGTCTTTCTGGGAAGACCAATTAAGACAAAGGAAACACCAAGTGCAAAGCTACACTGATGTGAGGGAGGCTGGCTCAGTTGGGTATATGCAAATCTTGCTCATACATCCATGAAACCTGAATATGGAGGGTATATCAAGGGGTACAGAGCAAAGCCAGAAAGAGAAATGTGCTACCTGGCCTTTGTTACAAGGCAGTGGTTAAGCAATACAGGAGAAAATGGAGAGGATGCAGGCTTGGGGATCTGGAGACTGGGGTCCAACCTGAGCTCTGTGCTAATTCAGTTGGTGACCTTGGACAAGTCTCTTCTGCTGTCGTGGGCAGGTTTCTTTGACCCTCTGTAAAATGATGGGGTAGGATTATGATGATGTCTTAGGGGCTCTCTTCCAGCTCTAACATTCTGTGATTCTAAATCCCCTTATAACAAACTCTAGGAGAGGAGCTTTGCTCTTGCAAATGGAGTGTAAAGTTAATCCTGCCTGTGCTGAGGCTAACTAATGTGCATGTGTGGTTTATCCTACTTCATTAAACCCTGACTCCCCACAGAGCGGTGCATGAGGCAGCCCAGGCAGGTAATACGGAAGTGTTGCTGAGCTGAGTCTCCTAGTGGAAAATGATTTCTCCCAACTCTTTCTCAGGTTTATCAGCACAAAGCCTATAACCCCCATTTTGCACACTGTTACCTTGCCACATGTGCAGGTTTAGACCCAATCATAGGGTATGGCAAGTCAGGTCCTCATACCTTATTTATGTGGGCATCCTCTGCACCCCGCACCGTGCCGCCAGTGACATCATCGTTTTCCATATGAAGAAACTGAAGCTCAGACAGGTTAGGCAGCTTGGTAGGAGAGACACAGTCCCATGTGATGCGTGACCATACAGTGAGGGCAATGCTGCTGTTGACTGAATACCCGCCAAGGAGTGAAAAAAAGCCAAGCTCTGAGGTAAAACCCCCATGTGAAAAACTTCCCCAAGGTTCTGACCTTTTGTAAGGATCTTGCAGGTTCCAAGTCACTTTTTTCTTTTTTTAAGACAGGCTCTCACTCTGGAGTGCAGTGCTGTGATATTGGCTTACTGCAGCCAGATGGTCCTCCTGCCTCAGCCTCCCGAGTAGCTGGGACTACAGGCATGCACCACCTTGCCTAGGTAATTTTTTATTTTTTGTAAAAATGAGAATTTGCCATGTTGCCCAGGCTAGTCTGGAATTCTTGGTCTCAAGTGATCCTCCTGCCTCTGCCTCCCAAGGTTCTGGGATTACAGATGTGAGCCACTACACTCAGCCAAATTTTTTTTTAAAGACTAAAAGAGAACACTCATTCTAGGTTGTCTGTTGAAAACAAATGGTAATTGTCTTGGGTTCCCTGAATTCTTCTTTTATTGTGTAGTGCGGATACTGAAAATGCATAAAGCATATGTATATAGTTTAATTAATAACTAAAGGTGATCCCTGATGATCCCCATCCTAGTAAGAATATAGAATATAATGTTGGGTGAAGAAAGCAAGACACAGAGAATACATCCAGTATAATCCCATTTATATGAAGTTAGTTAGTAAAATTGACAGGCTCAATGTTTGGCCGAAGGGGCCCACTCTTAGCATGGTCCTATACAATAAACAGACCTGACAAGACATTGTCCTCTTTCACCTCACTGAGGATGAAACCTCTGAGGACAGAGAGGGACAGAGGTATTGAATGTCAGAGCTGGAAGGAAGCTCATATGACATTCACTCATGCAATCATTCATTCATTTTTCAGATACTTTCAAGGATTTGCTGTGTAGGGGATCTCTGGGCTGGGAATGTGGGGGATAAGGTGTCAGGGGATCTTTCATAGATCTTGTCTTGAAGGAACAGGAAAAGCTGGAATGAGTTGAGTCCTAAATAGGGGAAAGGAGTGAGGTATGAGGAAGTGCATGGCTCTGGGCCAGAACATACCCTCAGCCCCTCTGAAAGTGCTGGATAGGGAGGGACCCACCAAGGGTAGAAGGCAGAAGAGACTCCCTGGGCCTCAGGAAGAATAGGTAGGCTACGGCAGATGAACCCAATCAGCCTCCCTGACCAGTCTCTGTATTTGACAGTCACATAAGGGTGGTTTATGTGCAAACAATGAATTCCAAAGGAACCAGAATTAGGCTGCAGAATGTGAGTGGAAGGGCCCTGGCATTGTCTGCTCCCATGCCTTTACTTTGTGGATGAAGAAGCTAAGGTCCAGAGTGAAGTGGCTTTTCCAGTGTCCCCTGGATAGCTTGAAGGGAGCCCTAGAGCTCAAATCCAGGTTCCTGCTTCCCTTACCAATGTTCTTCTTCCGTCCAGACACACAACAGTATTTTCCAAGATGAGTTTTTAGAATCATCAGTTTTAATGGTCATGAAATCTGGAAAAGACCTTAGTGGTAATCTGTCTGGTCCAGAGGATGATCATCAAATCACATGAGAAATTTGTTTTTAAAAATACAAACTCTTGAACCCCCACTCCTCAGAGATTCGGGTTTTGGGGTCTAGTCAGACTGGAATTTAGTAGGATGGGTTGGCCATGTGTTTTGTTTGTGTTTTTTGAGACAGAGTCTCACTGTCTTCCCAGGCAGGAATGCAGTAATATGATCTCGGCTCACTGCAACCTCTGCCTCCTGGGTTCAATCAATTCTTGTGCCTTAGTCTCCCGAGTAGCTGGAATTAGAGTGTGCCACCATGCCAGGCTAATTTTTGTATTTTTAGTAGAGACAGGGTTTCCCTATGTTGCCAGGCTGGTCTCAAGCTCCTGGCCTCAAGTGATCTGCCCACCTTGGCCTCCCAAAGTGCTGTGATTACAGTTGTGAGCCACCGTGCCCAGCCCCAGCTAAGTTTTGTATTTTTAGTAGTGTTTCACTATCTTGGCCAGGCTGAACTGGAACTCCCAACCTCGTGATCCGCCCGCCTTGGCCTCCCAAAGTGCTGGGATTACAGGTGTGAGCCATCGCGCCTGGCCCCCATGTGTATTTTTTAAAGGTCTCACTTGCTTCCCTCCACCCACAGCTGATTCTGATGATCTGCATGCAGGACACTCACAGACCTAGCTGACTGTCCAGTTGAGAGGAAGAAACTGAGGCCCAGATTAGGCAAGCTAGAGTGACTGTGCAAAGTCACATGCCATTCCACCACAAATTAATCTATTGTCCAGGATAGAATTAAGCCAGGCTGCATGTCTAAGAGCCTTGATATGTTGAGTGTTTTCTCCCAATGTGGTTCTTTTGGTGAACACGTTTTGAAGCAGCTTTAAAGATTCCCAGCCACACTGCAGGGCATTCAGATTTGTGCAATATTTACAGTGACTTTGTGGTTCATTAAACAAATTTACCTAAGCAACATGAAAGAAACCATCTTGTTTACAGTGAGATCCTGACAAAAATATGTGTAGCAAAGACAGACAAACACACAAAAACCTGGATTGCCGGGTGGGACATGATTTGCTGCCGCATTCCATTTTTCTCATTAGAACTTGTTTTATTTGAGCATGACTCAGTACCCCGTGTAAATTCGAGGTTGTTAATCTTATTACTATATGGAAAACAAATTAATTAGTATGCATGCTTTTGGAGATGAATTATTAGGTTGGTGTTGGAAAGATTAGGAAAATACACTCATTACTCCAAATGATATCTGATAATACACGTCTGACTTCCACTTTAAGATCTGTTCCAATATATGGGCAACAAATATAGCTAATGAAAATCAAGCTTTTGTGTTCAGTATCTAAATGTTCATGTTGGCCAGATTCACACATGAATAACTGCTTGTCACTGTCCATCATCCAGACTCACCTGCAACAGGCAGCGTCTCAGTTCTCAGGTCTCAGCTCACTTCCAATATCCAAAAACAGCTGAGATGATCTCTTTCCTCTTCTTGCCTACCACACTTTATATCTTTTTTTGACAGTCTTGCTCTGCCACCCAGGCTGGAGTACAGTGGTGTGATCTTGGCTTACTGCAACCTCTGCATCCCAGGTTCAAGTGATCCTCATGGTTCAGCCACTGGAATAGCTGCAATTACAGGCATGCGCCACCACACCTGGCTAATTTTTGTATTTTTAGTAGAGACGAGGATTCACCATGTTGCCCAGGTTGGTCTCAGACTCCTGAGCTCAAGTGATGCGCCCACCTCGGCTTCTCAGAGTGTTGAAATCACAGGCACCACTGTTTCCAACCAAACTTTGTATGTTTTCCCAGTGCACCTGCTCCCTTCTTTCAGCAGTCATAATGAATACACTTCATTTTTCCAGGAGACTGAGGGTAGAGACTATATTCCAATTGGAGATTCAAATGCATATTAATCAGAATACCCTGCTGCAGGAAAAATATATGAAGAACAACAAGGAAGCTCTTAAAGTACTACTGTGGAACAATCACCAAGAAATATATCGTTAAGTGTACACATACCTCTGCAAGTATACAGTGACACTGATTACCAGGTAAAAAATAAAATAAATAAATAAACCGCACATGCTAGAAATCTAATAAAAAGAACATATATGCTCAAAGGTTAAAAAAAAAAACAAACCCAACAAAATATTCCCAAAACACTAAAACTCAATAATTAATTAAATTGTCATTTAGGGTATCAGACTGTGGGAAATCCTTCAATAAAAAAAATGTTTCATATTAACATAGTATTACCCAGACTATTTCACCAGGGAGCTCCAAAAGAAACATAAGGTATCCATTGTTTCTCAAATGGTTCTCATTGTTTTTAAAAGCTGTTCACTTAAGGGCTAGGCACAGTGGCTCACGCCTGTAATTCCAGCACTCTGGGAAGCTGAGGTAGACGAGTGCTTGAGCTCAGGAGCCAAGAACAGAGCCTGGGCAAGCAGTTCAAGACCAGCCTGGACTACATGGTGAAACCTCATCTCTACCAAAATACAAAAAATTAGCTGGACTTGGTGCCGTTTGCCTATAGTCCCAGCTACTCAGGAGTCTGAGATGGGAGGATTGCTTTAGCCTGGGAGGTGAGGTTGCAGTGAACCAAGATTGTACCAAATGCATTCCAGCCTGGGTGACAGAGTGAGACCTCATCACCCCCCCCCCAAAAAAAAAGAAAAAATATTCATCTTTGAGTATCTCACAATACACAAGTTGTCCACTTATATGCTCTAGTCAACAGTTTTAAAGTAGTTTTTTTGTTGTTATTTATCTATTTTTGAGACAGTGTCTTTGTCATCCAGGCTGAAGTGTAATGGCGCAAACATGGCTCACAGCAGCATCAACTTTCCGGGCTCAAGTTATTCTCCTGGCTCAGCCCCCCAAACAGTTAGACTATAGGTGCATACTATCACACTCTGCTAATTTTTGTGTTTTTTGGTAGAGACAGGATTTCACTATTTTGCCCAGGCTTGTCTCAACTCCTGAGCTCAAGCAATCCACCTGCCTTGACCTCCCAAAGTGCTGGGATTACAAGTGTGAGCCACAGCACCCGGCCTAGGCAACATTTTAAATCACAAAGTAGATCCTAACTCTGCGGCCACCTCCATGAATGAAGCTGGCAAAATCATTTCTCTTCTTTGGCCCTCAGTTTATCTATCTCCAAAATAAGCCAGTAGAATGAGATTATCTCTGACGTTCCTTCCAGCTCTGAAAGTCACAGATTCTCTGGCAAACAAAAGATATCAAGTCTCCTCCAAAGTAAGCCCATGCTTTGAGTAGCAATGTGGACACTAAAAGGTCTATAAGGCCCATTGAAAATAAGTTACAAATATACCTGATGTGAACATGCTTTCCCAGCTTCAAAACCCAGAAGACATTCCAGGAGGTTGTAAGAAACCAGTGCATCATCTTTGGTTCACAACAGCTGATGATATTACTTCCACTTACTCACTGTGTAGCCTATTGGGCAAAACCCTAAGTTGAGAATGAGTTTCTCAGCTATAAAATGGTATAATAACTGCTTTGCCACTTTCCCAAATTCTTGGTATAGGCACTTAATTTATGACAGCAACAGAGACGAGAATAGAAAGCCTGCAACAGGTCAAGCCATTTGTAAAAATGAAGTTAAAAACGTTGCTTATCATGTTATCTTTCATTTCTTGGTAGATTTCCCTTGGTTGTGGCAGAAGCATGGTATGAGACTATCCTACTCATCCATTACCAGAGGCAAAGTAAATGTATAAAAGCCTTTTGCAAAGCGATCTGCCCATATATATCAAGAGCCATGCAAGCATTCAGGACCTTTGACCCAGCACATCTAGATCTGGGGATTTTAAAGAAATGACAAAAATAGGAGAATGTGATATGTATGAAGACATGCACTTTGGGATTATCTGTGATAGTGAAAAACTGGAGTCCTAAATATATAATACTAGGGAATGATATATCCACTTAAAAGAGTATTAAGCAGCCATTACAATAATTATTAAAACATTTATTTTTAAATGATAATTATGAAGACCTGTGGCATTATAATGATAAACTGTCAAGTGAGAAAGCTGAATAAATACGAAGCTTTAACTACACTCATAAATCACCTATGTAAATTTTGCCCGCAAGTAAGAGGAACACTGAACAGTTCATTTGTTAGGATGCTAGGATTATGGATAATTTTCATTCCTTTTAATTTCCCTTATTGTTGTAACATTATAAACTAAATAAAAATCTGGAAAAAAAAATACAATGAAAGCAACAGATAGGTACATTGTGTTGTATCCTTCGTAAATCCTTTCACTGAAGAAAGGGATTAAATGTGGCTTACCATAGCAAATCATAAAATAAGACTCACATTTTGATTTCCTCTAGACCCTCCCAGCCTTCTGAGAATAAATTAAAATGTAAACACCAGAGTTGAGTTTTTAAAATCCAAGATTATCTCATTCTTTTATTTAAAACATATAAGGAGAGAAAATACACTTTTTTCTTCTGGATTAAAGTTTCCCTGGCCAAGTTCTATATGTCTGTTCTTCCTTATTGGTAGGTCACGGGTCCCCGTTCCTACTACAGGAGTTTCTTTTTTTTTTTTAACAATGGCTTTTCTTTTGGTTAACCACAGGAGTTTCTTAACCTGCTGACTTCGCTCCGCTCTTGCATGCAGTGGTGAAGTGAAGTCTTAAAGGAAACCCAAGAGTTCCTGCTATTTCTGCCCAGGCTACAACCTGCGTCTGGGGTCAGCATCTCCTGAGATGATGTGCAGGAAGACACAGAAGTGCTTTGAAACTCCTCTAGAACTGTGTCCATTTGGATCTTTTTTCTTTAGGAGTCAATGTAACATAATGGAGGACTGCAGGGATAGGGTGGACTGAGAGAAGTGGGGAGACGGGCCCTGGGTTTTAGGCAGCCCTAGAGTGTTAGTGGTCAAATGATCTGTGTGGAAAATCAGACAGGCTTTCAAATTCCAGCTCTGCCATCTCCTAACTGTATGATCCTGCACAACTCCCGGTGTCTCTGGGCCTCAGAGTTGAGGATGGGATATGATCATGTATGCAAAGCAGAGTGCCCAGTGAGTGCCCAAGAGATGCTTGTTTTCTCATTAGTCTTGCCCCTCCCATGAACTCACTGTAGAACCTTTGGCAATTCCATTTCCTTCTCTGGGCCTTAATGTCTCCATCTGCAAAATGGGAGAGGTGATGGACTCAACTGTCTACCAGGGCTGTTTTAGCACATGGGCCTATGATTTCATAGTGGTTCTTGTAGCAATGTCCTTTTCTTTTCTTTCTTTCTTTCTTTTTTTTTTTCAGTTTTTATTTAAACAGAAATAAAATGTGCACATGAGCTGTCTATTTATTTTCTTTGCTGGACAGCCTAGCATTGTGACTGGTGACTCTGATGGCCAGCTGGGTTGCTCTTTCCACAATGGCTTTTTGGTTCTTGGAAGAAACATTGTAAGCACTTCTAGCTCCTTGATGTTGTGGACCAGGAGCTTTTGTAAGCTACTGGGCAGCATGTGCTTTGTTTTTTTGTTGCTCCCATAACCAATGTTGCGCATCAAGATCTGGCTCTTGAACCTTCTATGAACCTTGTTGTCAATATCTCTAGGTGTCTGCCAGTTACACTTAATTTTGACATATCAGTCTGACTGGTGCTAAATGAATGTCTTGGTCCTCTTTTTGAAAATCTGGAGCTTCATGAAGGGTCTGAAGGTGGCCATGATGTGAGTAGGAGGTGGCTGCCACCTCCATAGGTAGCACTGAGGAAGAGGGGACAATGTCCTTTTAGTTTTATTTATTTATTTATTTTGAGATGGAGTCTTACTATGTCGTCCAAGCTGGAGTGGAGTGGAGTGGTGTGATCTCAGCTCACTGCAACCTCTGCCTTCCGGGTTCAAGCTATGCTCATGCCTCAGCCTCCTGAGTAGCTGGGATAACAAGCTCACACCACCACGCCCAGCTAATTTTTGTATTTTTAGTAGAGATGGGGTTTCACCATGTTGGCCAGGCTGGTCTCAAACTCCTGACCTCAAATGATCTGCCCGCCTAGGCCTCCCAAAGTGAGGGGATTACTGGCGTGAGCCACCACACCTATAGGGCAATGTTCTTTTAAAAATAGTTCGTATGAGAAGCTGTAGCTGGGACAGTCATGGGAATGGGGTTCCAGAAGTTTTCTGTAAGATTAGGCTCTCAGCTCCATAATCCTGCCCCTGCTTTACTCCTGAATGTGCTTCCTCTAGTTAACATTCCAAGACCACCCATCCCTTCTAGCTGGGATTATTCCAAAGACATCGGAAGACATAGAGGCAATGTCGTAATGCCCCTCAAGGTGGCACAGTTAGGGTTCCCATGAGAAGGTCTGTCTGAGCAGATCTCTTCCTCTAGAAGTTCAAAGCAGATTTTTTTCACAGGATCCTATACTGTGCCACATTGTTTGTTCTTTCCTGAGGGTGCTAACTCCCAAAGAGGAGTCAACTTGGACCAATGGCAAGAAGCTGATTTGTGCTCAGTGAGGGAAAGGACTGCGTAGCAGGCAAGGGGCTTGCAAGCTCACTGTCCCTGGAGGTATTCAACCTTAGAATGGACCACTGTTCACTGGGATACTGTAGAGAGGCCAGCCTGAATACAGTTCATACAATTTAATGAGGCCCACTACCCCAAGTCCTTATGCTACTAATGAACTATTTACCAATTGATTATCACTTAATTAGCAATGTAGATGATCCCCAATTTATGATGGTTCTACTTAGGACTTTTCAACTTGACAATGGTGTGAAAGCAGTATGTGTTCAGTAGAAATCATACTGAATTCTGAATTTTGCTCTTTTCCCTGGGTAACACCAGAATACGCAGTAAGACACTCAATGGTGGGCAGCAGCAGTGAGCCTCAGCTCCCAGTCAGCCCCATGATCATGAGGCTAAACTATTGATACTCTGCAGTGTGTTGTGTGGCCAGATGATTTTTGCCCAACTGTAGGCTAATAAGTATGCAGAATATGTTTAAGGTAGGTAGGATAGGCTGAGCTATGGTGTTCGGTAGGTGTGTTAATAACATTTGTGACTTAAGATATCTTCATTTTGTGGTGGGTTTAACAGGATGCAACCCCATTGTAAGTTGGGGCACATTTATACATTAATTTTTTTTTGAGATAATGTCTCACTCTTTCACTGAGGCTGGAGTGCAGTGTCACCATCACCGTTCATTGCAGCCTCAACCTCCCAGGCTCAAGTGGTCCTCCCACCTTAACTCTTGAGTAGCTGCGGTTACAGGCACCCATCAGCACCCTTGCTAATATTTGTAATTTTTTGTAGAGACAGGGTTTTGCCATGTTACCCAAGCTGATCTCAGACTCCTGAATTAAGTGATTCACCTACCTTAGTCTCCCAATTGCTGGGATTACAGGAGTGAGCCACTGTGCCCTGCCTGTACATTAGTTAATAAACTACTGGTCGCACCATCTTAAAGGCTGTGACCTATTCTAGCTTCCCTCTCAGGAGAATGCCCACTGGAAGACTCCTGAGGATGGGGTTTGGTGGAGAATCAGACCGAACACTTAGGATTCATCTTTCTGAGCCTTCTTTTCTACAGGGTGAAATTCTTTCTGCAATTTACAGGGTGTGTGTGTGTATGTGCGTGTGTACACACTAGATTTCACGTCATTAATGCACTATTGACTGCAATTTTGTCTTTTCATTTTTCCTCTAGGATCTGAGGGTTTTTTCCCCCTTTCAGCTCTGCCCAGCTGTGCTTTATCCCAGCAAGTCCAGATCCGACATTGTCTTTTCAGAATTTTAGCAGCAGTATCATGACAGCTGTTAACCTTATGGCTCTCAGATGTGCTTCAGTTGAATTTTTTTGTTCTTTGCTTTCTCTCTTTCGGTGCTGGAAAAGGACACTTTAAAAAGAAACACAATTTTTCAACCCGTGAGTACTGTCGGCCTCTTCCTATACAAACCTGCATTCATAGCTCCTGTCAAATGCTGGGCTGCTGGCTCCTTTACCAAAGGAGAAATGCATTTAGTTGACCAAAAAATATTTTCTGTAAACAGCATTGGGGACTCTAAACCCATCCTAATAATACTCTGTGAAGCAAGTGTCCAGCTATTATATCATTTGTTCCTTACAACTGCCATTAAAAATAGGTTGAGTGAGTGGCACTTATTCTCCCCATTTTACAGGTTAGCAAACTGAGGGGCACAGAAGTGATGTCACACTTCTCGGATGTGGTGAAGTGGGAGCTAGAGTCATGGGCTGCAGAGGACCAGTTCAGGGAGGATTTTCCCCTCACCACATTTAGTCATTCATCAGACTCTCAAATGGGCATTTTTATGTGCAAGTCCTGTGCTGTTTTGGGGTTGTAGAGATGGATCAGACACTGTCTCACAGCTTTTGTGAGAGGAAGAGAAGAGGACAAGGAGCTATGACAGTGTGAGAAAGACATTAGCAGAAGTGTGGCATCTAGGGGGAGTCTGATATGCTTACTAGCGGAATAACCCTAGGCTGTGCCTAGACACAAAAGCCCACAAAAGCAGGTGTAATGACTCCTGCTCAGCCAGGGAGGCTCAGCAAGAGAGTCTTGCAAATCTCCAAAGAAGTTCAGATGTTCCCAAGGGTGTTACCTGGGAGTAGCAAACCCTGGGGTGTGTAAGAGAATCAGACCTTAAGATTGCTCTTGGCTGGGTGTGGTGGCTCAGGCTTGTAATCCCAGCACTTTGGGAAACCAAGGCACGTGGATGCCTTGAGCCCGGGAGTTTGAGACCATCCTGGGAAAGATGGTGAAACTTTGTCTCTACAAAAAATACAAACATTAGCCGGGCATGGTGGTGCATGCCTATAGTCCCAGGTATTCAGGAAGCTGAGGTAGGATGATCACTTGAGCATGACTGTAGTAAGCCATGATGGCACCACTGCACTCCAGCCTGGGTGACAGAGTGAGACCTTGTCTCAAAAAAAAAAAAAAATTAATGCAATTCTTTATCTCCTGGAGAACTCAACTGGTCTCAGTTTCCTCAACTGGTCTCAGTTTCATCACCAGGGAATTCTCTCTGTTCTCCTGCCTTGCCAATTCCTAAAAAAGCCAAGTATTTTCTACCTCCAAGCCATTGCTCATCACATCAAACCCTCAGTCTGTAGCATCCTTCTCTCCCTCTTTTCCAACTCACTCTTCCAGACCTAGGTCAAATGCTGCCACCTTTAAGAAATCTTTGATTTCCTTGGCAGGAAGGGAGGACACCACTTTTGTTTTCCTAATTGTATATAATTAAAAGCCTGGGCCAGGTGCGGTGGCTCATGCCTATAATCCCAGCACTTTGGGAAGCCGAGGTGGGCGGATCACTTGATGCCAAGAGTTAGAGACTAGCTTGGCCAACATGGTGAAACCCCATCTCTACTAAAAATACAAAAATTAGCCAAGTGTGGTGATGCGTGCCTGTAATCCCAGCTACTTTGGAGGCTGAGGCATGAGAATCACTTGAACCTGGGAGTAGGAAGTTGCAGTGAGCTGAGATTATACCACTGCACTTCAGCCTGGGTCACAGAGCAAGACTCTGTCTCAAAAAAAAAAAAAAAAAAAAAGCTGTATCAAGTTCTACCTTGGATGGATTAAAGGCTTTTTTTTTCTTCAGTCTGACTTCGAGCAACTTGAGGGCAGGAGGCTCTCATCTCCCTCCAGGACTAAGCACAAGGCTGTCTTTGCTGAATAGAATTGAATTAAAATGAGAAGTGAAAGCATATCCACTACCAAAGTCAGATGGGTTTTGGCCCTTTTGGGGCAAATCAGGAATGGTTTGTAAATATGGCTGCTGGTACTTTGGGGATCTGGATGCTGCCATCCTCACAAGTTCTAGTTCAGGGTGTTTAGACAGGTGTAGACCTGGTGAGGGGTCAGCGAATCACAATGGCTTAGTCCTTGCTCTGAAAAAGCTTTTAGCCCAATGTTCCTCAATGGACGATCCAGGTACTTCCTGCATTTGACTCACCTGGGGAAGTTATTACACATTCAGGTTCCAAGCTCAGTCTCTTAGCACTAAACCAAGCTCTCTGGGGCTGGAGCCCAGGGATCTGCATGTGATTTTTCTCACACTAAAGTAGAGAAGCTACTGTTATAAGGGAACAGAATGACTTACCACCATTAGAGCTGGTGCCCAGAGGAGAAGTCCTGCCCGTGGGAGCCAAGAGACTAGGAGGAGTGGTGAGCACAGGACACAGACACTTCATCTCTAACCCATAAGATAATGGGAAGGGGGAGCTCAGGGCTATGTGGCCTGAGCAGGGATTAGTGGCCACCAGCCGTGGCTCTGGGGGAGTCTTTACAGCCTGGGAGGATTTAGTAAGGTTCATGAGGAGCATTCCCGGCTGAGGGTGGTTTGTTTGTTTTTCCAGACTGAGGTTTTTGAGGGAAGTTTGTACAAACTTCACAGGGGAGAAGGTTAAAAAAAAAAAAAAAAAAAAAAGCTGGTGGAGATTAAGCTTTCCTCTGTTTCTCTTCTTTGGTCCTAGGGCTTGTTTCTTATCTCTTCCCTTTAGCCTGTGAGTCCATTTACTTCATATGGTAAGGGGAGAATACATATCTTAGCTGCTGCTCTGACAGTCTTAATGAGGTACATCTGGGGTCTGACCACCCTATCCACCTTCCTTTGTCCCATTCCTCAAACCACGATGAATTCCTTCCCTCAGAAGCATTTGCCATTCCTACATTGCTCCCAATCCCTTGGGCAGCTCTTTTCTTAGCATTTTGCCTGTATGTTGATATCCAGTAGGCTCTTTTGCAAAATGTGGCTCTTAATTATGCCATCTGCTCCTTATTCATCTAGCAAAGTCCT